GCGTTTGTTTCATAAAGGGAAGAATACAATGACCCGATCGGTCGTTTTGTGTATTTGAGCCCCGTTTCACCTTTTGATTCTTCATACATGTGTATTTACGGTTTTATGACTTGCGGGGTTGTTAGTTTCGTTTCGGGAAGGGTTTGGGTTGATTTGGACCCTATTGTTCTTTGTTTAGCAGCCTAAGTTGAAAATGTTGACCAAATTTTGACTTTTGTAAAAACGACAACAAACTGATATTTTGATCTCTCCGATAAGTTTGTATCGTAATTTTGGACTTGGTCGTTTGCCCGGAATCAAATTCGGGAGGTCCCTAGGTTGATTTGACTTGTTTTGCCGAAAGTTGGCAATTTGAGGTTTAGAAGTTTACCCTAGTTTGATCGTAGGTTAACTTTTTGTCTATTTTCTTCGTAATATTTTTTGGGACTTGGAATAGGTCTACTTCGATATTTGCAAGTTGTCTGCAATGTTTGGTGTCATTTGGAGTTGGTTTGATAGAATTCAGATGCTTGGTTACAATTCTACAGGTTCTTTCTTTTGAAATTCATGTGTTTTGATGTCCAATTCATAGTTCTAGATGTTATTTTTGTGTTTTGATCGCATGATAAGTTGATATGATCTTTTTAGACTTGTGTGAATGATTAGTTTGGAGCCCCGAGGGCTTGGGCGAGTTTTAGACGTGTTTCGAAAAGGTTTGGACTCAAATACAGGTTGCTGGTAGTGCAGTTGTCGCAATTGCGAGCACCAACATCGCAATTGCGAACATGTCTGGGGGAACTCAGATATCGCAACTGCGATACCTGGTTCGCATTTGCGAAGCATATACTTAAGTTGGGTAGGTCGCAATTGCGACCAATCGGTCGCATTTGCAACATCTTCTGGGCTTGTCAGGTGCCGCATTTGCGAGGATTCTTTCGCAATTGTGAACCCATTGTCGCAATTATGACATCTGCAACTAAACAAATGGTTGGAAAGTAGGGATTTCATCTCATTTTCTCTTTAGAACCCTTGACTCGGTAAAAGGCGATTTGGAGAGGGGATTTTCAAGTACAATCATTGGGTAAGTGATTTTAATCAATTTCCAATTATATTTCATGAATATATATTAGATTTAACATCAAACTTATGGGAATAAAAGAGGATATTTCGGGATTTTTGTTTATGTTTTGAAAATAAAAATTTGGGTTTTGAGAGTCGATTTTGACTCGGATTTGGAAACAAAACACTTATATAGACTCGTGGGGTTATGGTAGTCGGAATCTATCCTTGGACCGGAGTTTTTATCGAGCGAGCCCAGGGTTGACTTTTGTTGACTTTTGAGATTTGTGTAAAGATTTTAGCTTTATCTATCGTAATTGATTTTCCTTGTATTATTTGATGATATGAAGTCATTTTTGGTTAGATTTGAGCTGTGTGGAGGCAAATTTAGGGGAAAATCTATTTTTGAGGGTTGATTTGGCCTTGTTGAGGTAAGTATCTTGCCTAACAATGTGCGGGGGAACACCCCTTAGGATTTGGATTGTTTGTGTTATTTGAATTATGTGGAAGATGTGTACACAAGGTGACGAGTATGCACACGAGCTTATATGTGGTATTTTTACTGGTTTAGACCATTAGACTTCTTCCATGCATTTAATTGCAATTGTAATAACATGCTATATCTTTTATTATAAACTTTACCCTCACATACTCTATTTGATGTTGTTAGAACATGTTCTATCTTTTATAATTATGTTTGCTCTTATGTACTTTAGTTGAAGTCGTTACCTCTCTTATTGTCTTGTCATCTATTTTATTGTTGTATTACTCTTATTTGAAGTTGTTATTTCGTGGGAATACTTTTGTTTGATTTATTGAGGTTGAAGTTGTGAAAGTTATTAACACATTGAGGTTGAAGTTGTTGATTATTAATAAATTTTAGTCTTTGAGTATTTCTCATTCATTTTGTTATTATTGAGATTCTTATCTCCATCGTGGTTGAGCCGCGGGCTATATGTTGTGGTAACATTGATATTGTTGATTTTGACAAGTATTGTGTCATATGGGCACGCGTGGTGCGAGTTTTTTATTGTGTTGTGATATTGATAAGCATGCAGTGGTATAAGGATAGGGGTTGATACACATGCGGTGAGTTAAGGTGGGATTGATACGCATGTTGCTAGTAAGGAAATTACTTGAAGCCAAGCAATGAGATAAGGGGGCTAAAACACGTGTAGCTATTTCGGGAAAAACAATTCAAAAATAAATCAAGGCTCACGCGTTGATATGAGGGAGAATGTGATTGTGACTTGTGAAATGAGATTGTGAGGTGTGGTGCCTAGGTTGTGATTCTTGTTGTACATTTTATGTTAAAAAGGATTGTTGGTTGAACAACTTTTGTTATTTCTTTATTTGTCTTGTACTTGTTCGTATCTGAATACTTACTGTTCATTTCATGTGTTCACTCCTTGTTGCCTTTATTGCCTCAAATTTTGTTGTTAGTCTACATTATGGCACTGCTTTGTTACAATTCATTTTCCTCGATTTCGTTATTTGTCTCTATAATAATCTGTTCAGTTTTTCTTGTCTTGTCACTACTCTATCGAGGTTAGGCTTGATACTTATTGGGTATAGTTGTGGTGTACTCATGCTACTCTTCCGCATATTTTTTTGCAGATCCAGGTACATCCTCTCGTGTCGGACGCCAATGTTCGTTCAGTTATTTTTTTTGGAGACTTCAGGTACACCTGCCCGACGCTCGCAGGCCTCGGAGTCCTCTTCCGTTATTTCCTTTACTATTGTTTATCCTCACCGGTTCTGTTTTGGAGATTATGAGCTTTATCAGTTTATTCTATTATCTTAGTTTGTTATTTCTGTTGGGCTATCAATGAATGTTAGCTTTACCTAGTCTTAGAGACTAGGTGCCATCACGACATTCTAAGGTGGGAATTTGGGGTTGTGACACAGAATTTTGCAAACAAGTTTCAAATAGCAAAACAGACCTATTCCATGTCCCAGAACCAAAATATATACCTGATAATCATAAGGTGTCACGACCCCAAAATCAACTATCGTGATGGCGCCTATCATTGAACTAGGCCAGCCTCAACTAATAAACTCAACACAGTAAAATAACTTTGAAAATAATGACGGAAGCAGTTAACATTAAAGGAAATACTTTGAAAACATAACAAATCCCAAAGTGTGATACAATCCAGCCCAAAATTGGGGTGTCACTGAGTACATAGCGTCTACTCGGAATACAATCCACTACAATGTCTAATGAAAATAACTAAAAATACATCAAATGATAAAGGAGGAGAGTTAAGGCATGCGAACACTGTGCAGCTACCTTGATAGTCTCCAAACTCTGGGGTCTCAATCAGCAACCGCCGATGTGAACAGAGTCACCTGGATCTGCACACGAGGTGCAGGGAATAACGTGAGTACACCGACTCAGTAAGTAACAAGTCCAAACTTTGCACTGAAAGGTAGTGACGAACTCAACCGCAGCGGAAATAATAGAAATTAATGTGCAGAAACATAGGCATGCTTTCAAGTTAAATAGATCGCTTAAAGCAATACAGTAAATACAGATCTGAATAGTGTAAGGTATATAACTCAATTATCTCTACCTGCCAATGCACATACTGTATGAAATTCACCATATGCTCCCACTCTCAAGTGCTCAACTATTCTGTACTGTATATGTCCATCTGGCCCAGGGAAGATCCATCCGGAACATATACAACACTGACTATAAGTCATCCAGTACTGAGGAAAAGGGGAAATCCAACCCTGTGGAAAAGATCCATCTCCAGGTATCAAGTACTTCGGACAACTCAATGTCCAGGGAAATCCATCCCTCAATTATATCATCGACGCTTACTAGGGGTGTGTTATAGACTCCGGAGGGGCTCCTACAGCCCAAGCTCTATCATAATCATCAATATAACCACGCGGCGTGCAATTCGATCCCGTAACTGTCACTCATAATCAGGCTCTCGGCCTCACTCAGCCATCAATCTCTCCAGTCTTACCCACGGGCTCACAATGTCTTGAAAACAAACCTCGAACAATGATGAGATGAATCAATAAATAACTGAGAAGGAGTTATGATATAAAAATACATGAACATGGCTGAGTACGGAGTATCAATGATAGTGAGATGACAGCAAGAAATGACCACTAAGGGTCCCAACAATACCGACATAAAGCCTAAACATGATTCCTAGCGTGATTTACAGCTCAATTACTTTATCACATGATGAAAACATGGATATCAACATGATAGCATCACTAAACGGTGCCATGGAATCACACAGGTCATAACTCTCACGGTGCACGCCCGTCACTTGGCATGTGAGTCACCTCAATACCAGTGACATAACACATAATTTGGGGTTTCGAACCCTCAGAACCAAGTTTGAAAGCATTACTTACCTCGAACAGAGCAAAATCCTACTCCGCAATGCCCTTGCCTCTCAAATCGGCCTCCAAACATCCCGAATCTAGCCACAAGTAATACAATACAATCAATATAGGCTAAAGGAATCAATTCCATAAGAAAACTACCAAATTAGAGCTAAAATCTGAAATCGACTCAAACCCGGTCCCCAGGCCCACGTCTCAAATTCTGACAAAAGTCACAAAACCCGAAGCCCATTCACTCATGAGTCTAACCATACCAAATTTATCAAAATACGACCTCATTTGGTCACCCAAATCCCCAAAATCCACTTTTCAATTCTCAAGCCATAATCTCCCAAATTTCACCTCAAAACTACACAATCTAGGTGGAAAAATCAATGGGGAAACTAGATTTATGATCAAAATCAAGCACAAGAAGCATACCTCAGAATCCCCCTCGAAAATCTTCTTCAAAATCGCATAAGCCCGATTCCAAAATATTAAAAATGGTGAAAAATTTTGAAGTCCCATTTTTATATGCTCTGCCTAGGTTTTTCGGACCTGCGGCTCAATTTCCACATCTGCGGACCAAGCTCCGCTTTTGCAATGAATCACTTAAACACTGCCTCTGCTTCTGCGATCAAAAGACCGCATCTGCACTCATCAGAGGTGCAGAAGTCACATCACACCTGCGGTCCAAGCTCGCACCTGCGCTCTGAAGTCCGCTTTTTCAACCATCGCAGGTGCGGGAATTCCATCGCACCTGCGTCCTCTCCCCAGATCTTGCTTAATCGTATCTGCGACCCTTTCATCACTCTACGGGCTTGCACCTGCAGTTCCCACTCCGCAGGTGCGGTTACACCAGTAGCAACAACACTTCAGCTGCATTTCCTCAACTCAAATCAAGCCATCAACCACCAGAAATTACCCCGAGGCCCTCGGGACCAAAACCAAACATAAGGTCCTATAACATCATAAGAACTTAGTCAAACCTTCGAATAACTCAAAATAACATCAAAACACTAAATTACACCCGCATTCAAGCCTAAAGGACTTCTAAACTTCCGAATTCCACAAACGATGACGAAACCTACCAAACCACGTTCGAATGACCTCAAATTTTGCACACAAGTCAAAAATGACACCACGAACCTACTCCAAATTCCGAAAATCCAATCCGACCCCGATATCAAAATTTGCATTGCCGACCAAAATAGCCAAAATTCTAACTTTCGCCAATTCAAGCCTAATTCTACTACAGACCTCCAAATCACATTTTGGACGCGCTCCTAAGTCTTAAATCAACTAACGGAGCTAATAGAACCATCAAAATTCAAATTCGAGGTTGTTTATACATAAGTCAATATCCGGTCAACTTTTCCAACTTAAGCTTTCAATTAAGAGACTATGTGTCTCAAACTCTCCGAAACCACTCTGGACCCGAACCAACTAACCCGGTATATCATCATACAGCTATAGAACGCAAAAGGAGCAGGAAATTGGGGAACGGGGCTATAACTCTCGAAAAGACCGGCCGGGTCGTTACATAAGGTCAACCTACGATCAAACCTAAAGAATTTCTAAACATTCAAATGGCCATCTTTCGGCAAAACAAGTGAAATCAACTTAGGGACCTCTGAATTAAATTCCAGGCACACGCCCAAGTCCAAAATCAAAATATGAACATACCAGAATCGTCAAAATACAGATTCGGGGTCGTTTACCCCAAATATTGACCGTGGTCAACTCTGGCCTCATTTTTAGTTAAAATTATTGTTTTCTTCAAAATTTCACATAAAAGATTTTTGAAAAGCGGCATAGACCACGAATGCAGACCAAGAAATATCAAATGACGTTGTGGGAGGTCTCAGATCATGAAAATTAACGCTATTAATCAAAACGACCTATTCGGTCATCACAGTTTTAAGGGGTATATATACAATTGTACTTTTTCTATCCCTTAAAGAGTTGAGAAGAAGGCAATCCTCGCGCTATTAAAATTTTATTTTCCCGTTAAAATTTGAACTTGGCAGCTTGTGTAAATAACCATTTAATAAAACAACGACTTTGAGTTGCAGCTTACCCAACTTTGTGGCTATAAATACATGATCTTTCTCTTAGATTTTCCTTACGAAAGTTTTGAGTTCTCCTTCTTCCTTTGCATTGTTTTTAATAGAAAGAAAACAACTATAAGTGTAATTTGCTACCGATCTTGGAGTTTGTTGGTCACTGGAGTTTGAAGTACCGCTCCACCAGTGAGGGTAATCCGTTCTTTTCTAGGAGGAAATTATCCTAAACCTCGGATACTAGGAGATGATTAAGTTCCTAAGGAAACACTGTGAATTCAGTGGGCTCAGATTAATTTTCTGTTTCTTCTATATTTCTGTTTTTTACATGTTTCTATTTTTTGAATATATTTTCGAATACGGATTACAAACATGTAAAATACCTTTGCTACTTTTTTGTAGGCTTAACACCTTAGAAATTTCTGAAGTTGGTATCATTTATTCGAGTATGTACTGGAACTATTTTTGGTCCTAATGGAGTTTCAACTAGTTTATTTACATAGTTGACCAGAAAAATAAGAAATACATTAAAACAAATCATCATTGCACCTAAAGAATAAATAAAAAGATATACAAAATTGAGGTAAAAATGCGTAGTATATTAAAAAGTGTTGGAATATATACTATTTTTTTTGGTAATTAACATTTTATTCCTCAACAATTTTTACATACTGCAATCAAGCTTAATCTGGACATACGCCCCAGATTTTAGCTCCATTTCCTGGCCTCATTTACTACTACTACAAGGAACTGTTTAGTCTAACAGTTCAGTCTAACTACTAATTGTAGAAAAGTTCATTACATACTAGGATAGTAGTTGAGTTCCAGTAGTCTTCTTTGTGACCCGTGTTTACTTTCTCCTCGCCCATGCACACCTTGTGTTATTGCTCTGCTTAGAATTACTTCTGATCGTTGTACTCCTTTGAAGATCCTGCCGTTCCTCTCTTTCCATATGTAGTACAAGGTTCCTGCCAGTATGAGTTTATATAACTCAGCTGTTGTGTTCCTCCCTTTATAGTACTTTCCTGCCCATTCAAGTTCATTTCCCCACATCATTGGTTGCCTCTGAATCCCTTGCCATTGCAGCATTGCTGTCCATACTCTCGATGAATAAGTACATTCAAAAAACTTATGATCCACTGTCTCCTCCTCACTGTTACATAAAGAACATGTTATATCTTCCACATAGCCCAAACCCCTCAACCTGTCTTTAGTCATCAACCTTCTATGTGCAGCTAGGAAAACAATAAAGTTCCATTTTGGCACTCCAACACTGCTGTGCACCAGTTTCCTCCATGGTACTCTATCAAAGTTACCCCTCAGTTTCCCATACATCTTCTTAATAGAGAAGCTGCTTATCCCCTCTACATCCTCATCTGTATAACCAGCTTCCTCAAAGTATTGTTTGGCTTTAAGAATCTTCTGTACTATCCAAGAAGCTTGTTTTGGTACAATACTCCACAATGCATTCTGCTTCTTATAATACACATGTATCCATTTCACCCACATCCTATCTTTCTTCATGCACAGGTTCCAAAGGAGTTTACATATAGCTGCCTTATTCCATTCCTCTATATCCAGCAAATTTAAACCACCTGCTGCTTTAGGTTTGCACAAACTATCCCATGACAATAGAGCTTTCCTTGACACTTCTACACCCCCAGTCCATATGAGTGTTCTACATACTCTTTCAATAAGTTGGATCAATTTCTTTGGTAGTACAAACACATGAGACCAGTATACTTGAATAGAGATAGCACACTCTTGATTAGCTGAATTCTTCCTGCATAGGACAAAAACTTTGATGTACAGGATTGGATTCTCCCTAGCATCTTTTCAAGCAAAGGATGGCACTGTATCAATGATAACCTCTTTGAGCTAAGAGGTACCCCCAAGTACCTAACTGGTAGTGTTCCTTTGATAAATTCCAAGTCTTGCAATATCCTCTGTTGGTTATCATCATGCACTCCACCAAAGAACATGGAGCTTTTATCAGCATTTGCCCCTAACCCTGAAGCCTTTGAGAACTGCTGAAAGCACTGAAATAGTAGTTGAACAGATATGGCATCACCTCTACAGAATAGTAATATGTCATCAGCAAAGCTCAATTGCACTATGTTCAGTTTCCCACATTTAGGATGGTAGTTGAAATTAGGATCCTTTTTAAGTGTCTTCAATAGTCTTGTCAAGTACTCCATAACCAGCACAAATAGGTAAGGAGATAGGGAATCTCCGTGTCTCAATCCTTTCTTAGCTTGAAATGGCTTTGTAGGCTGCCCATTAATCATAATGGAGTATGACACTGTTGTAACACAATTCATAATCCATTGCACAAATCTCCCTGGCAGCTGCAGATGTGTCAACACTTGTTCTAAATAACCCCATTCCGCTGAATTATAGGCCTTCTTCATGTCTATTTTCATCCTACATCTAGGAGAAACACCTTTCCTGCCATAACTCATGACTAAGTATTATGTCGTCATTTATAGTATTAACCATTAGTTTTGTTTGGATATAGTATTTATTATGGAGTAATTATTTATTTTATTTTGATAAAATTTTAAATAGATCATTTATTAGTCTATGCCCTTTGCTTATATAGTATATGATTTAGTGTATAGAGTTTAGCTTATACACAGAAGATTAAATTATCAGTTCTTATATGTATAAACTTTGAGTTCACGATCTAAAGATGGAAGTGAATAACCCATCAGGAATGATTATAGCACAATATTAAATATAATTTATCTTGATTATGGAAATGGTTTAATTCCAACTTCTTGTGCTAGTAGATTTTGTATGTATTGAACAATCCAAGTGGAGATAAATATTTTATAATGACTTAATAAAATAAATTCTCTAGCCATTAAATGTACTTATACTCTTAATCTTTATATAATTATTATTAGTTGTGTATATTCCTTTTTTTTTTTGATTTATTAAAAGGCAAGATCCTTTCGTGGGCCAATATGCCTGGTAAATTGGATAATAATAATGTACACTGACGAAATAATAATTAGTTAATTGAATCCATATCTTGGTTTAGAGATTGATGATACATATTTATGAAAGCTTTTATGTTTGTAGTGTTCCAGCTGACTGGTTTTGCCAAGAGGTGGTGGTAGGATTATGAGCAGAGCAGACCAGCAAGTTCACCGCCACTAACATGGGATCAGTTTTGTAGCGCTCCGGCCGGCCGTTTTGAGTGTTGTAGCCCCGTTCCCTCATTTACAGCTCATTTATGCTTAATTATTGTTATGTGACTTGCCGGGGTAGTTGGTTCGGTTCCGGGGATGTTTCGGAATGAGTTGAGACACTTAGTCTCAAAGTTGGGAGCTTAAGTTGAAAAGGTTGACTAGATGTTGACTTAAGTGTAAATGATCCTGGAATGGAGTTTTGAGGATTCCAATAGCTCCGTTGTGTGAATTTGGACTTAGGAGTGTGTCTGAATAGTGATTTGGAGGCCCGTAGTTGAATTAGGCTTGAAATGGCAAAAGTTGAAATTTAGAAGTTTGATCGAGAGTTGACTTTGTGGTTACCAGACTCGGATTGGGGTTCCGGGAGTTGAAGTAGGTCTGTTGTGTCATTTGTACCTTGTGTGCTAAAGTTGAGGTTAATCAGATGTGATTTGATAGGTTTCGACATCGAATGTAGAAGTTAGAAGTTCAAAAGTTCATCAGGCTTGAATTGATGTATGATTCATTGTTTTAGTGTTGTTTGATGTGATTTGAAGGCTCGACTAAGTTCGTATCATGTTTTAGTACTTGTTGGCATATTTGGTTGAGGTCCTAGGGGCCTCGAGTGGATTTCAGATGGTTATCGGAATGAAATTCGACTTGGTGTAATAAATGAAGTTTTCTGCTTTCTCTGTCTGGTTTCTTGTACGCGATCGCGTGGTAAAGTCCACAATCGCGTGGTAAGGTCCACGATCGCATAGGCTGTTATTTTGGGCAGTGGAAACTTGTTCTATGCGATCACATATTTTGGGCTGCGAACGCGTAGCTGGAGCAGTTCATGTATCGCGAATGCGTGGGCTAAGACGTGTTCGCATAGAGGAAATGAGGCGGCTGGGTTCACACGTATTTTCTCTTCACGATCGCGTGAAGATGGCCACGATCGCGTAGGTTTCATGGATCAGTTCATTGCATTTGCGCGGGGATTGACGCGTTCGCGTAGGATTAAATTACTGGGCAGTTTAGTTGTGCTTCACGATCGCGAAGCAATTTTTGCGATTGTGATCAAGGACACCTGGATAGACTTAAATATTTCAAAAATGAGTGTTTGAGTTTATTTCATAAATTTTATTTTGGGAGCTCAGTTGGAGGCGATTTATCGAGAGATTTTCAAGGGAGTGATTGGGGTAAGTGATTCTTACATAGGTTTTGTTAAACTCCATTATTGTATCTTTGATTTCATCATTTAATTAGTGATTTGGATAGAAACATTGGGGAAAATTGAGGCAAGTACTTAGGCCAAATTTTAGGGATATGATCAAGATTTTGGTAACGAATTTGAGTAATTTCTATATGGGTAGACTCGTTGCTGAATGGATGTTCGGATTTTGTGACCTTTATTGGATTTCGAGATGTGGGCTCGGGGATTGACTTTTGAGTTGACTTTTTGACTTTTGTTTAAGAACTTAGCATTTTCATATGGAATTGATTCCTATAGCTTGAGTTGATCGTATTGAATCGTTTATGGCTAGATTCGAGGTACTTGGAGGCCGTTTCGCGAGGCAAGGGCTTGTTGGAGAAGAGTTTGGCACGGTTTGAGGTAAGTAACACTTCTAAACTTGGTTTTGAGGGTATGAAACCCCGAATTACGTGTTATGTAATTGGTAGTGAGGTGACACACATGCTAGGTGACGTGTGCGTGAGCGTGCACCATAGGAATTGTGTCTCGGTCGATTCCATGGAACTGTATAGTTGATTAATCTTGCCGGTATCTGTATTTTCACCATGTGTTAGAGAAATTAAGCAGCTAGTCATGTTAGAAATCATGCTTAGGCTACCTGTTGGTACTGTTGGGAACCACAGGGGTCATGTTACATGTTGAATTATTTGCTTAATTAGCAATTTTGTACTCAGTCACAGCTATTATTTGCATATTATATCTCAGTCTCTATTGTCCTTTATTGATACATTATATCATCATTGTTTGGGCTGGTTATCATGATTCTTGTGAGCCCAAGTAATTGGAGAGATTGATGACTAAGTGAGGCCGAGGGACTGATTGTGAGAATATTAATGGGATCGTGCTGCACACCGCAATAAATTTATTTAATTCATGCCATAATTGGCTTATTATAGCGCTTGGGTTGGAATTTCCCCTCCGGAGTCTGCACATCCACATTGAGTGCATGTACCTGCTGAGTGCGAGTGTGAGTGCGAGTGCGAGTGCCGGGCGCTTGTGATGATGGAGTTTGTGGGGATGGAGTGATTGTGAGGATGGAGTGAATGGGAGGACTGAGCGACTTATACTCTGATAGTATAATATATGATTTTATTACTGTTTGTACATTAGTTGGCACATATAACTGTCATGTAGATACTGAGATGTACCATATCTTGTTTCTGTGGAACTTGTCATGATTTACTTGTTTGGGTTTTAATTGTTGAACTTGAAAGCATGCCTACATTTCTGTACTGAAATTCTGTAATTGAACCGTACATGTGAAGATTGTCACTACTTTCAGCCCAATAGTTAGACTTGTTATTTACTGAGTTGGTTGTACTCACGCTACACCCTACACTTCATGTGAAGATCCAGGTGTTTCCGGACACGGTGGTTGCTGATTCTCAGAGTTTACTGTCATTCAGAGATATTCGAGGTAGTTGACCTGGCATCCGCAGACCTTGACTCTCCTCCCCTATCCCTCAGTTTTATTTATTCATTTTCAGTTTTATCCAGTTTATGAGAGTTTTACTTATTTAAAATTGTTTTAGTATGTTTTAAATTTGAAAGTGTTGGTAATGTCTGAGTTGTCGACTTGCTTAGTACCATGATAGGCGCCATCACGACATGTTGAGTTTTGGGTCGTGACAAGTTGGTATCAGAACCTAGGTCACATAGGTCTCACGAGTCATGAGCAGGTTTAGTAGAGTCTTGCGGATCGGTACGGAGATGTCTATACTTATCTTCGAGAGGATGCCGAAACCTTAAGAAAACTTCACATTCTTGTATTCTTGTTGAGCGGATTTATTGATTCTGGGAACTAAACATCTGTTATTCTATTCTCTCATAAATGGGAAGACACGTGCTACCAGACAGGACAGACAACCATCAGTACCACCTACTAGGGCCATAAGAGGCCGAGGTCACGTTAGGGGCCGCGGTAGGGGAAAATGTGCAGCTCGTACAATAGCTATAGTAGCGCCTGTAGATCCACCAGTTGCTCCAGCTCAGGAGCAGGTTCCAGATGTGGTTGAGCCAGCCAGCTCAGGCACCAGTTGTGCCCATTATGTTTCAAGGCCTTCAGGAGGCTTTGGCTCAGATTTTGACTGTGTGCACTAGCCTTGCTCATGTGGTTTTGGTTCAGACCGCGCCAGAAATTTCTATGGTCGGGGGAGGTACTCAGACTCTCGTCGTCTGCATTCCAGCGTAGGTGATGCAGGGACTTCAAACACCGGAGGAACTGCCAGCCCAGCAGGTTGCAGTTGCTCAGGCCCAGGTGGGTCCCGTTATGACTGATTATGAGCATAGGATACTAGAGATATTTGGGAGGCTCTAGCCTCCATCATTCAGTGAGGCTGAGTAAGAGGATGCTCAGGACTTCTTGGATAGGTGCCAACGGTTCTGCACAGTGAGTATTCTGGAGACCAATGGAGTCTCATTAACTACTTTTCAGTTTACTGAGGCTGCCTTCAGATGGTGGGAGGCCTATAAGAGGCGCAGGCCTGTCGGTGTAGCACCACTTACATGGCATGAGTTCTCCGTTCTCTTCTAAGAAAAGTTTGTGCCATAGATCTGTAGGGAGGAGCTGCTCAGGTGGATCGAGCTGCTACATCAGGATGGCATGTCTGTGACCCAGTATGAGATGAGATTTTCAGGGTTGGCTCGTCACCTAATTTGGTTGGTTCCCACTGAGAGGGAGAGGATTAGGAGGTTAATTGATGGCCTCTACTATCAGTTTCATTTTGTTCTGACTCGGGAGAGTGTATCAGATGCTACATTCGACAAGGTGGTTGATATTGCTTGGCGACTAGAGATGATTCGTAGTCAGGAGCATGTGGAGAGGGAGGCCAAGAGGCCTCATGATTTGGGTGGTTTCAGTGGTATTCCTTTCGTGGGGAAGTCCTACCACAGCAAGGGTCGTCCTTATAGGCTCGATCAGATGGATCGTCCATTGCACCGTGGTGCATCATCTATCCATGGTTCATATAGTGCCCATCCGGGTCATTCATCTCTCAGC